AAACATTGATGGTTTGCCCCTTTTTAAAAGCACTTCTAATCAGTTTTGGCCAATATTAGGAAGCATTGTTCAAACCAAACCCTCTGATCCCTTCATAATTGGCCTTTACTATGGAAATTCCAAGCCCTCAAATTTGGAATTTTTACATGATTTTGTGACTGAAACAGTTGATCTGAAAAACAGAGGTTTCACAAGCGGAGATGTGCATTTTGGTGTAGAAATTCATTCATTCATTTGTGATTCACCAGCACGTTCATTCATAAAGAATGTGAAATCCCATTCTGGTTACTCTGGTTGTGACAAGTGCATCCAGGCAGGGATATATCTAAACCACAGGATGACCTTTCCAGAGACACATTCTGTCTTAAGATCAGATGTTTCATTTGATGAAATGCATGGTGAGGATCATCATAAAGGGCCAACACCATTGCAAAGGCTTGGTGTTGGGATATGGTCAGTCAATTTTCTCTAGACTATATGCATTTGATTTGTCTAGGGGTTGTTAGACGGTTGCTGCTGATTTGGATAAAGGGTCCTTTGACATGCAGACTAGGAGTCAAAGTCATCAATAGCATATCTGATGGACTCACAGCTTTAAAAGGATGGATTCCCAGAGAATTTGCTAGGAAACCCAGGGCATTAAAAGATATTGAAAGGTGGAAGGCCTCTGAGTTTCGCCAGATTCTTTTATATACAGGTCCTGTGGTTTTAGCAGGGAGAATACCAACAGTGCTCTATCAAAACTTCATGTTATTGTTTGCTGGTATGCACATTCTTCTCACCCCATCTCTTTGCAGAACACATTGTGATTATGCTCAAAGCCTTCTTTGTTTGTTTGTAACACATTGTGGAAGTGTCTATGGCAAAGACATGTTAGTTTACAACATTCAGTAGTTCATCTTGCTGAAGAGGTGCGAAAGTTTGGCTGTCTTGATAACATATCTGCTTTCCCTTATGAAAATTATCTTGCAAGATTGAAGAGATTAGTAAGAAAACCATCATTTGTTTTGCAACAGATAATTCGATGCCTTTCAGAAGGATTGCATCAAGTTAACTCAACAAAGGGTGAACAGATCAATATTATGTTGAAAAAATCCATTCTGATGGGCCGCTTCCATTGCAGTTTCAACCTTGTCTACAATACAGACAAATTCAAATGGAATCATTTTTCCTTTCTACAGAAATGCATGACCCGATGCATCAAAACCCAACATGACATTTTCATTGTTGAAAATATTGTTGAAGTTGGTTCAGATATTATCTTGATATGTAGGAAATTCCTGCGTTTGAGTGATTTCTTCAGTTACCCCCTTGAATCCAAGATATTTGGAATTTTTAAAGTTTCTAAACTTTCTGATATATATTGTTGTGGCATTGTCTGATGTAGTTACAAAATGTGTTATGATTCCACATATGGCCAGATTTGTAGCAATTCCAATGACACAAAGGTTATTCTAATAATACCATCTTGGCAAGTCAAATTGCCGTAAATAATTCACAAATAGTTAAAGGTTTGATTCAGATTTTCTTTAGAAGGAGGGTGGAAGAAAGTTCCTATTTGATTTGCATTTTATTGATGGTTCCTGTAGATTTTAATTTATTCCCCAACCATTATGAGTTTTATTTACTTGAGTAATAATATATTATCAATCTAATGGCTATTCCAGAAATTGTTTGTTGTTGCCATATTCACCGACGAAAGTGAAGTAGAAGTCATTCCCATGAAATGGATGGTCGGGAAGACTCACTGTTTGTGGCCCCCGTACAATGCCAGCCAAATCTGACAGGCTGTAAGGTCTTGTAAAGACCCGGACCACACATTCAATAAATACCCATGCCGAGTCCTGTATCAGTGTGGTGAGTTACACACATTCATGATAGAATAACCAATTTGCAAAATGTTTGTATCTGAATTAAATGCAAATTAACAAAATCGATACAGTTTCAAAATATGCAAAGCATTATATCCATATCATTTCTTCTCCGCACAAAAAATAACTTTGTTCCTATCGTTTATTTGTTAATTTGGATATGCGCATTCATTAATCAATAACAATACATAGTGTAGTTTCTGATCACAATCCAATAAAAATACAGATTAAATGTTGGCTTCTCTCAACATAGCATCTATGAAAATGTCACAGTACTGGTGTTGATCATGCACCTGAGGCCCATTAGAAATACAAAGGTATATCATATATTAAAAATTTGCATCTTTTTTAATTAGATACTTATGAAAAAGCTGTGAAGAAATGCAAAATGGCAGAGACTACATCAGACCTGCAAACAGATGAGGAAACAAGCCATGGAAATGCAAAAGACGGTGAGTTCAGATATAGTCAAATATATCAAAGTTTCAAATTTCAATCAATTGTGATTAATTACATTGGAAAAACATATAGTTACTCGGCTATTAATGATATAACAGGTTAAAATATGTCTGCAACGTTTAATTCACATTGTGTAATAGACTAGAGTGCACCAAATTGTTTGACATCATGATGGTTTTGCTTATGAAGTCACAATGTTAGCGCTGCTATCACAATGGTCTGTGACTTAGTTATGACATTATCACAGCGATATTGTTACAGATTCATGTTCTCTATGTCGGCGAGTAATGAACAGAATATTTTTTAAAAATTCATCCAAATGTATAAAGCTAGCTAGTATCCTCTATGAATCAGTTATCAAGAAATGACACTCAGCTTGAAATTTTCAGACCTACGTTTCGCCACCTGGAGTCAGATACTGACAGTGATAGCACTCCATCAAAGCGCCATAGAGATTCAGTCATTCACCAGCCACCACAAGCTCCTTTGCCACCACTAGCTCCTTTGCCACCACCAGCCCCTTTGCCACCACCAGCCCCACTGCCACGAAGGAATCTATTCCTAGATTCCCCTAGCACTTCCCGGAATCAGACGTTTCCAACACCACACTCAAAGAGAGGTAAATAGTAACATTTTTATATCATTCCTGGTAAATTAATTCATGTTAAGAAATGGACCTTTATCTGAAATTTACTGGGGATGTAGCAAAGTGGTATATCGCCCACGAGGATAGAATCCTGTCCGTGCCATACCAAAAGACATTAAGGATTTGAGATCATTGTTGCTTTCATGCTTGGTTCTTAATTTATGGGGGTAAAATAGCACAATACGGAACTGCCTGTGGTGACCAGTACACCCTGATGTACAAGACAATTTTTTTTATAGAATTTCCTGCTTTGACAAAAAGTATTTTGCTACTCTGCAGTTGACGAGAAGATGCTCCAACTCCAGGATCAAAACAGGACCAGTCAGAGAATACTGACTCTCATTCTGAGGAAGCTCTCCTCAAGTCCAAGTGAGAACAAGGATGTGCTCCCAGATGGGATCAAGTTTCCCCTGGAGACTCCCCAGGAACTGGCAGCCCTGGAAGAGAAACTGGCAGACCAAACAATAAAAGGATAAAGTGGTACCTTTTTATTCAGCATTAAATGAACTAGCACTTCATCATTTTGTCATGTTTGCAACTTGGGATGGGGCAGTGCATTGTGTTCAACTTTGGATCATAAGGTCTGGGGTTCGAATACCTCCAGAGGCTTGGCTATTTTGTCAGCTGTAGAGAACGTTTGGTCTGTGGTCTGGCTCACTGACTTGGTTGACATGTCATCGTATCCCAGTTGCGTAGTTGCTGTTGAATGATTATTTACAGACCGCTGCCATATATAGCTGGAATATTGCTGAGTGCGGTATAAAACTGAACTCACTCACTCACCCTCTCAATATGTAGGTGGTGGTGGTTGTCTAGAGCATTGATGCAAGCAAAGAATATAAGGACCTGGTTCTTTCCTGTTGCTATAGTTACACTGAAGTGGTATGACAGATTTACTAAAGTATTGTGAAGGAATATTTTTACAAATCACTCTCGATGTAGGTGAGCTACAGAACCAGGTGAAATACAAAACCCATTGCTGTTACATATGTATGGTAATGCATCAGGATCAAGAGGGTTGGATGTCAGTTAATAGGTGCACATAGCTTCCAATAAAGGTACTTCTATTGCTGAAACTGTTTTGATCTTTGCATTGTGTATTGCACTTAATGTAAACATTAAGTCTGTACAGAACTAGGTCATAAGAAAAATGTAAAATTTCATATTTTCATTTGTGTCTTTCAGAAACCCAGCCTTTATTTACTCACACTAGGCACTTGTAATATTAAACATCCTGTCTCGCATTTAAAGGTAAGGTTGCCGATTTTCAAAGTCTGCATCAATATGTAATACAGATTAATACTAACTCTCTTTTAAAGAATTTGCTGTAATAATTGAGTAATACCCAGTTTAAGAGTAAGTTATTTACGATTTCATGTGTAAGTTTGAAAGGGTCTGTATAAAGCAGTCCACTATACTACTCTATTAGATCAACACTCTATACCCTATACACTGTAATGTCAGATTCTAACCTGTATGCTTCAAGTAGGGGTATGTTAAGCTATGCAAACAGTACAGATACCCCGTTGCATCTCAAAATTGGATCGACAAACAGACCGTGTGCTGCAAACTAATACTATGGGGCCAAGTTTAAATAAAAGCTTAGCGGCAAGCATCTCGGTGGATGTGTCGTTATATTCGCAAAGCCTTTGTGAGCCCAGTGCCAGTTAAATACCTAACATGTGATAGAGGCACACCTTCGTCTATGTCTCAAAAGCTAGACATGATTTAGAACGAGTTGTTATGACCATTAATTTCTCTTTAAGGGGAGATGGGGTTTATCTTCCGAAAAAGCTTTTGAAATTCCTTCTTATGAATGAGTTTGTCTATAATTTTAGGGTAAGGTTTTTGGGTTGTCATGTTTTATGTGTCACGACTGTCTGTGGCCGCAGACAGCATTTCTGACTTCTTCAGTACATCGTAATTCAAGATGGATCGTGATAAGGAATGAAAATGTCTGCTCTGATCAAACAGGCTCAGCTTAGTGGGAATAACTGAATAATTTTTGTTTTGGCCTTTCTAAGTCTTATTGTGACGTTTTGCTAGAATTTTATATTTGATGTCTTTATCGACAAATATTGCATTTATTGTGGTTAGCTTAATGGTTAAAGCGTTTGCTTGTCAGCTGAAGACCCCGATTCAATTCCCTACATGGGTACAGTATGTGAAGCCCCTTTCTGATGTCCCCAAAGTGACACTGCTGGAATATTGCTAAAAGTGGCATAAAACCATACTCACTCACTCACTCACTCTCATCAGTGTACAATCCCAATGGCCATTGTGATCACCAGATGCCCATTTTAGTCAAGAGTTGAGGAGAACCAGTTGCCTTAGAGAAGCAGTTAGAGAACTTGTATGAAAAGTCATGACAGAAACAAGTGTGAACCTGTGGAATGTTTCCTGGTCCAGACCATCTACAGGGTCATGAAACTATTTCACAACTATAAATGCATAATGGATTAACAAGAGGGAGATCATGCCTATGTAAATATTTCTCAGACCAAAAACATAATCATGCAATATTTCTTGGGTGTCCCCACACACATGAAACAAAGACAGATTTTTATTCCATGGTTATGTTTTGTTGAGAGGGGTTAGCTACCCAGGATGTGCAGATTTATTTCACCAAGTTCATGTGTAGACATAAATGTAATGTGATTATAGGTCACATGACCATGCTATCTGTCTGACTGGTGGAGTATATCTTTTAAAGGTGTTTTGTCTGACTGCTGGAGTCTTTAAGGAACTTTTCGTTACTTTTCAAACTGGTTGTGTGTGATTGGCATTACCGCTGAGGATGTCTTAAAGGGACTTTGAATAACTATGTTTATATCTCAGTGAAGTGCATCTTAAAAGGATGTTTGATTGTACTTATATCACCCTGCTGCCATGTCTTATAGGCTGCCACTAAGTCAGATCTTAAAGTCACTTTGCAGTACAGTGTTTATAACAATAACAAACTCATGGTGGTTCTTAAAGTGATGTTGTATTACAGTGTTATAATATACTCTTGGTATGTTTTAGAAGGACTTTGTTCTTCTGTGTTTATGACAAACTTGTGTGTCTAAAGGGACACTTGATTGTCTTGTGTAAGGTGACGTGCATAAAGAACGATGTCCTGCCCCAGGAGTAGTGTGAGGTTGTACAGGGATGAGATCAGGTTCGAGATAGGTTACAGATTTCACTTTGTCAACAGAACATCCTCTGGTATTATCATTAGGAAAAACTATTACACACAAGGGTTTCTGGCAAATAGATCAGAAAGTTTATGGGCCATTACAGAACTGTTTGTGCCACTTGTCCAGCTGAGTGGGCCAAACTTACAGTGATAAAATACAAGAAAACTTTGCTCAGCATAAACACCAACAGAAGTATTGCAACAGCAATTTTATCAGTTAAGCACGGAAGTCCACTGATCCTTGTCATTGTCTTAATGTCGAATGTTACAGATTAAGGTGGTCTATATATTCAAGTTAATGTTTAAGGTGGACTATACATTTAAGTTAACAATTAAAGTGGTCTATACACTTAAGTTAACAAATAAGGTGGTCTATACACTTAAGTTAACAATTAAGGTGGTCTATACATTTAAGTTAACAAATAAGGTGGTCTATACATTTAAGTTAACAAATAAGGTGGTCCATACATTTAAGTTAACAAATAAGGTGGTCTATACATTTAAGTTAACAATTAAGGTGGTCTATATATTTAAGTTAACAATTAAGGTGGTCCATACATTTAAGTTAACAAATAAGGTGGTCTATACATTTAAGTTAACAATTAAGGTGGTCTATACATTTAAGTTAACAATTAAGGTGGTCTATATATTTAAGTTAACAATTAAGGTGGTCCATACATTTAAGTTAACAAATAAGGTGGTCCATACATTTAAGTTAACAAATAAGGTGGTCTATACTTTTAAGTTAACAATTAAGGTGGTCCATACATTTAAGTTAACAATTAAGGTGGTCCATACATTTAAGTTAACAATTAAGGTGGTCTATACATTTAGGTTAACGAATAAGGTGGTCCATACATTTAAGTTAACAATTAAGGTGGTCCATACATTTAAGTTAACAAATAAGGTGGTCCATACATTTAAGTTAACAATTAAGGTGGTCCATACATTTAAGTTAACAATTAAGGTGGTCCATACATTTAAGTTAACAATTAAGGTGGTCCATACATTTAAGTTAATGATTAAGGTCGTCTATGTATGTAAGTTGCAAATTAAGGTAGTGTCTATATTTAAGTTAAAGATTTAGAGGGTCTATACATTTAAGGTAAAGACTGAGGGGGTACCTACATTTAAGTTAAAGATTAAGTGGGTACCTACATTTTAGTTAAAGATTAAGGGGGTCCCAACATTTATTTTTGGGGTAAACCTCAGTGCAAACACAGCAATTACTCTCAAACCATCTAACAGGAAGTACAAGATACTGCTGTCAGAAGAGCTGTAGAACTTCAGGCAAATTAGTAAAACACCAGTCAGTTACTAAACCACATGAAATTAGAAGCATGAAGTAGAACTGACAGATGGCTAGATGACAGTGTTTGCTGTTGTTAAAAGACTGTGATTCATAAACAGGATGGTGAGAATGACTGACACATTAAATACAGTTCTAGGTGTCCAGAAGAACTGTCTACACAGTGTAATCCCCAAAAGACTTGGAAGTATCCGGTGTTCCTGGAAACAAATCCTTCAGCTAAGCCCTCCATGTAAATCTATACTGTTTTGATGATGTGACGGACATCATAAATGCAACCCAAATAATGTGAATGAAAATCCCAAATAAACATGTCATGTAAATCGCCACCATAGTGGAATGGAAGAACAATTAAATGTTTGACTTCCTGTGACATTACCTGAAAACATAACACACCAATTAAAGGTAACAACATCTCCAATTATGGGCTTCCTGAAAAGTCACCATACAAAAAGCTGTATAGAATCATGACATGATCTCTTGATGGCAAGCAGGAGGCAATGGCAATTTGTTGATGATAATCTAGAACCATATTCTTACCTTGGCTTAGCCTAATGACCAACAACTCAAGTGATCCTCCATTTTATTTGGTATTTATCTCAAGGGGAGGAAGGATTATTTTCAGTGGGCTTGGACCCTCCATTAAACTTCTCCAAGAATACACATGGGAGGATCAGATATCTAGTAAGAGGATTAGAACACATTGGGAATATTTTCTTACCTCTTGATATGGTCAGGGTAGAGAAAGCTGTCAGGGCTGAATGATAGGGACTGGCTTGAATAGGGCACTTTTTTCTTTCATTTTTATTGTATATATTTAATTCAATTCAGCAGGTATATACCTTGTTTATGCACATACAATCTTTAGCCATGTACTAAATTTTAGTTAATTTTTAATGATCAGGTAATACATACATTTTTACGTTATTTATTAGATGTCTAAGTTGAAGTGGCTGTTTTGGCTTAAACACTGGATATGCTCTATCTAGCTATGCACATTTCAACATAGGTAAAGAGACTTTAAGAAATATTAGCATGTTATGTTAATGTGTGTTGTGTTTTATTCTTGAACTGTAGGTGTTTTATGTAGCAGCCTTATTACATGGTTATTGCAATAATAGTCTGTGTCAGTTACTGCTAGTACTGTAACAACAGAGAGAATATAGTGATCACCAGCATATACACCTAGAAACTAAGTTTGTCACTAAACATTTATTGTACAGTTCACAGAATGAACATATTTTATTTTCTGATATTTTTCTTAGGGCACTAGTTATTTAGAGGCTATTCAAGACTGATTGTTCAGATTCTCTGTATACTTTAGATGCATTTATCAATGATATGAACAAATATATCAATCACAGGCTGTTGGAAATAATATAAATTTCTGATGACGACTCTATATGTCAGATTCTCTGTATATTTTAGATGCATTTATTAATGAAATGAACAAATATATCAATCACAGCGGCTGTTGGAAATTAATATAAATTTCGGTTGAAGAATCTATATGTCAGATTCTCTGTATATTTTAGATGCATTTATCAATGAAGTAAGACATATGATGATAGTTAACAGATGTAGGATCTGTACTGGATTCTTGCATATGTACACAGTAGATGTCATATTGTATTCACTTATGATTCATATACAGAGGGAGGATAAAGGAATGGCTCATAGGAGAATGGCTATCTTTTGCATGAGTTTTACATGTACTCCGTTGAACCAGAGAACTTGGGGTATGCAATGAGTGCAGCACCATTTTGTTGATATGAAACGTTTTTCTTCAACAGTAAACAACATTCAACAAAAAGTCACCATTTCCGTTTCCTTTTTCATTAGTATGTGAAGTCAGATGTGGAGAGTGTTTATACAGTATTACTCTGGCTCTCACACAACCGGAACATAGGACCTCTTATCTTCTTCATTTCTCAGAAGCAGGGATATTGTAAGTGTTTTGATGATATGGATCAGATGTATGTTGAAAAACCTTGCATGTTGACAATTACTTACTATATCATTATAATGTTACAAGAAATTATCGTTGCCATGTTGATTGTGGACTTCTTTGATGTTGGTCTTTTTGGCAAATCATTACCTCATCCACTCTGGTTTATTGGTGATGATGTGTAAACAAAGTATCATTATTTCATTTTGAATGATACTGCGTGTTATCTGTCTCCTGTGATAACACAGATCAGTGACTGTAGTAATATGTGCGTGAACCATTAGTGTTATCACGGGCTAAGTATATGGTAAACTCGACTTGACGGCTTAGCTTGGCATTGTCCCAATAACCCCATTACTGTAATAGACGGAGTACCTACACATTCAAACGATGTTCCAGAGTTAATCATCTGAAAACAGCACCCTTGTGATATACGATACTGGAGTACTTTATGTTCCTGAATTCAAAGCCAATACTGTTGCCCTTCCTGACATTATAAACATAAGCATTAACGTTTTTAAGCTATGAATCCCATTAGTTTAGCATTTGCCAATATCTAAACTGATTTGTACACTATGAGTTAATAAGGGCTATAATATGAC